TCTCTCCTGGCTTCTGGTGGTTTGCTGGCAATCTTGGGTGTTCCTCGGCTTATGGCAGCGTAACTGCAATCTTCACATGGTGTTCTCCCTGTCTGTGAATCTCTGTGTCCAAATTTCCCCTTTTTATAATGACATGAGTCATTGTGGATTAGGAGCTCACCCTACTCCAGTATAACCTCACCTTAATCTAATTAATTACATCTGCAATGACCCTATTTCCAACTAAGGTCACATTCTGAGGTACTGGGTGTGAGGACTTCAATATATGAAATTTGGGGGGACATAATTCAACTCATAACATGTGTTAAACACATTTTTCTTGGACCTTTCTACGTCCCTCCATTTCACTTCATTTCCTCACTCCCACTGTATTCCTAGCTACCATCATTGATTACTTACATGTTTTTCCTTCCAATTAGGGTCCCCACACACCCTCTAGGCCTCTTTAATCCAGTGTCCATATTGCAGCCACTGTTGGTTTACCATTTTTGTAGGCAGAGGCAGTTCTAGTAGCTTCCACTTGGTCTTTCTTACCATAACAGCCCTCATTCCACAGGTCAGGGAACCAATGTGGGGATTCTGTCAGTTACTGAATAGGTCCAATTATGCATTCCAGAACTGGGGAAATAATCTCAGAAGGTATTCAGGGACCCAGCAGACTCACTATAAGATGAATCTGAGCTAAAACTCCATTAATCACCTGACCACCATAAGCACCTACTCTGCCTGGTGGACCACAGTAGCATTTCGGGCCTCCTAGAATGAATATCAGTTCAGAGACAGTGTCCAGTAATCCCCAAAATGTCTAATTATTTCCCTTTCCCCAATGCACAGTCTCCCAAGTAAACAGCCATATGTCCCTTGGTGGAAGGGCTGGAGAAAGAATAACAAAATAAAATTTTGGCAGTGTAGCAGGGTTAGACTTCTGTTCACTCGAACTAGAAGTCTTCTACTTAGATCAAGCAACAATTTAGTAGACTGTCCATTTCTTTTCTTTTCTGGGTTCACCATAATCAACTAGCCAACAATGTAGGTCTCTGTGAGTCAGGGCTCTCTCATTGCTGCTTTGACACTATTACAGAAACCACATCACGTTGTCTCTGGCAATTCAGTATCACCATATGGGCCCTGCTACCCTGGGATCATATTAACCTCATTGGATTTAGGGATCCCAGTTTGATGGTAGCAGTTCGCATTGCACTTTCTGACCTACAAAGAGCAACCACAGAGCTCAAGGATGCTGGGGCACCCCTCACAAATTTATTTCTCACAGTCAAGGTGAAAGGTGTGTTCTCCGGACTCTCCTAGGGTGGGTGAGTAGGTCTTACATGATAAATCCACTCTAACATTCCAATCTCTTTAAGCCTTTGGATCCCTTCCTCTACAATTTACCGAGGCAGTTGTGGCATCTTGACTTTACTGTAGGCCATCTTTGAGTCCATGTTCGGCTGACAAACCAAACTGTTAGAGCCCTTTCTAATCCCTCAAACTAAAACACTGAATCCAGAATCTCTTGGTGGGTTCATATCAATAAATTTAGCCCGACTCAACTTTATACTCCTTCCACTACCATCCTACACTCCTAAGATCCATTCCCACACATACTCCCCAGATTTCTGTCTGTTTAGACTGGAAAAATCATGAGCTCTTTTGGTGTACAGTGCATTCCTCATGGATCACACTTTGTACCTCACCTTTTGGTGCCTGATGAGACTTGAGTCTAGTTAGAGGTCTAGAAGCAAAGCGGGGTAGTGAGGACAACTCCCAAGGAGAATCACTAATGCCTTGCAAGGAACACTTCTGGAGACCACTACAAGTCTTTCAGGCAAAGGAGGATTAACCTTCTCAGAGAGGGGTGGAAAAGCTGCTTCTACTGGCAAGGAAGATTCAGCAAAATTTAGGATTCAATGTTCCCAGATTTATTGGGAAGACATAAAAAGTTTTCAGGCCATCTATGCGAAGCTTCAGGTGGGAATTGATAGCTCTGAGCTCATCCTTTTCTCTGTCCGCTTTGTCCAGCCCAATTAGGACCAACCAGCCAATCCCATTACACGACTTGTTTGACTAAAACGTTCTAAGGTATTAAATACAGTCATGTGTCACTTAATAGGGATACGTATGTTCTGAGAAATGCGTTGTTAGAAAATTTCATCACTGTGAGAACATCTTAGACTACGCTTACACAAACCTAGATGGTATAGCCTACTACACACCTAGGCTATGTGGCACTAATTTCATGGGACCACCGTTGTATATGCGGTCCTTGACTGAAATGTCATCATGCGGTGCTGACTGTACATGGTTACCCAGAATCTTGCCTTTTACAGGTATTCGACTAGGAGCGTCCAACTTTGATTATTTTGTGTATCTCCATGGCCACATCACACTATGGACTACCAGCGCCCTCTTTACCACTGGAAATAAAGTCATTAGTGCCTTTCAGTTTAATCAGATTAGAGAATATATTACAGATCCAAGAACCAATTCAAAACACTCATCCTTAAGATTCTGTTTCTCTGGAATCACTCTGGTACCAAAATCTCTATCAGTCAGGGGTCAAGCAGACCCTGAATCAGCAGCAGATATATATGGAGGAGCTGCTTACATGATTTATTGGATGCAATTGGCTTACACAATTGTGCAGGCTAGCTAAGCAAGCCCAACATCCATCAGGAGGGACAGGTGCTGACTCTTGAGCTAAAGCTGCCATCCACAGGCAGAATTTCTCCTCCCAGAAATCTTAGCTCTGTTCCCAAGGCCAGTTCAACTGACTGGATCAGGCCCACCTAGATCAGCAAGGATCACCTCCTTTACTTAAAGACAACTGATTGTACATGTTAATCACATCTACAAAAGATCTTTACAGCAACACCTAGAATAGTGTTTGATTGACTAAGGGGACTGTAACCTAGCAAAGTTGACGCATAAAACTGACCATTACACCTACTAAATCAGAAACTCTGGGGTAGCACCAAGCATCTGTATTCAAAGCCCTCCAGGATTCTGCTGCTCCTTCAAGTTTGAGAACCACTGGTTTAGAGACCAAATCAATAGGGAGGAACAGACGTCAGGAGTCAACCACAATGTTTTATTACAATTAGCCAGTATCTGTTGTTTACAATTAAAGAATCTTAGGAGTTTCATCACACATATGAGGTTCTTAGTAGCAAACAACAGAAAATGACTCTACCAAATTGGGCAGAAAAGGAATTTATTAACTTATGTATCAAACAGCTCACAGAATTGATGGGAAGTGTGGAAAACCAGGCTTAGAAAGAGGCAGGTTTTCAGCCACTGGCATCCAGGCAGCACACACCCTAGCCAAGACATGTCACAGCAACTGTACAACTGAAATGTTGCCCTAGAAACTACCACCAGACCCTGGCCAATACCTCTGCTAAATCTTTCCCTACTCTGTCACTGCTGGGAATAACCTCTTAACTGTGCCACTCTCTCCGAAGACCTGGAGGAAGCATTTGATTGACAGAATTTAGACACGTGACCATGCCCTAGCTGCAAAGGGCAGGAAGAAGTAATATTTGACTGTTTTCCTTAAGGAGCTCAGAGTAGAAAGAAATACCTACGTTTGAAAGATAATTACAATGCAATGTACCGTGTACAACAGTAAAAGTGTGTACAATGCGTTAGGGAAGAACAATAGATAAACTTAAGTCATTCTGGGAGAACAGGGGTCAGAATGGAAGAGATCAAGGAGCTTTGGAGAGAAGCATCCATGAAATTACAGAAACATGCCTAACTGGTTGAAATACCAGCAATCCCATCCTAAGATCCAAAAAGTTCTGCTGAACGCTCATGTGAGTAAAACTGAAGAGCTTGTCTTCAGCTCCCTTTCATCTCTCTTCTTTCTCCTTTTTAAGCCTTCTCAACCAGGCACACCAAGCTCCCAGCTGAAGTACCCCACCTTCCCTGGCAGCAATTCCTATCACGGGCCATCAACTGCCTAATGGGACCCAGTTGTACTGTCTTTCATTCTCTGAGTCTTAGATTTTGGAAGTGACAGCCCATAATCTTTCCCATAAATAACAAGGAAGTATAAACATACAACAGATAAAAGAGGAACAGTCCAGTGGGGGTGGGGGGAGGACCTTGAGCTCCACACGCTCAGCTTCCTTCCCTCCAGGTAGCCTCTGAGAGGCATCCAACAACAGCCCTCGGGCTCCTGGGATTAGTAATCTGAGAGCCACCAACACTAGGTTCACTCATTATCTTATAATCCCAGTGACCTGCAATAACGTGTTCAAGTAGAAATCTGAACACAGTGTTTTAGAACAGCAAATTAAATATGCAGATCACTATCACCGGCCCAATCTATGGCAGTTTTTAATTAACAAATTTTTTTACTTTGCTCTCCAAGTAAAACATACTCAATACAAGATTATCAACTCTTGTAGCAAAAATAAACAAATCAAAACCCTAAACAATAAGCAAATGGGGAAAAAGGCAATAAACTGGATTCTCTCTTATTCCATCTCCTTCTACTCAGGAAAATGGGTAAGGATCTACTGCAACATTCCTGAAGAAAATGGTGTCTCCTCCGTAACATAAATTAAAACTTCTACCAAGTTTTACCGATGGAGAAAGAATAGTTCTATTCACAATACCCTTTCAACTACTCCCTAAATCACATTTTAAAGTCTAAACAAGGGTCTGTTTGTTTTTAAATGGTTCCCAAAAGGTAAAAATGAGACTCTCGGGTCACAGAGTTTAACTCATACAGACTGTGCAATCTTTGAGAGCTAGAGATTTATTTTTTTTTTTAAAGCAACTTTTTTAGCAGAGGCTTCCTTCTACACCACTTTAAATTACTTTTTTGAAAATATTTACCAAGTGACTGGTAGTTAAGGCAAAACTACCATGGGAAATTATTGTTCAGGGAGACAGAACTTCTGCATGAACCCCTTTTCCACTGGGAAAAAGGGTAAAAAAGTAACACCAATTAGTGTCAAGGCTGTTAGAAAGAATGAGAATAAAACCACTTGTTTTTTTTTATGTTTTCTGTCATTTTAATGTAAGATTGAAACAGATTGCTACAACGATACTTGAGATTCCACAGAGAAGTACATGCTTTTGCTATTAAAAGACCTTTGTCAAAGCATCTGAACTTCACCTCTTTCTTAAGAAATGAATAGGGAGGTTTCAAGCATTTTTGTCAGCACAAAATCATTCCCAACAATCTTCCAGATACTGACTTTCTACCTTTTCCTAAAAAAGGTAATTCTCACTTACCAGAACCCCACCACCCACTGAAGGACTCAAAGCTCCTGAGCTCTAAAGTGATCAAAACCCACACATTAGTATAATCAGTAGTTTAAAGCTTGGTTTAAATGTTTGAAGAACAGCAAACACCAAGTAATAAAGACCAAATAGATTATTATTGTTTCTACGAAGTAATGACTCACCAACTAAAACCATCTAAGATTGAAACTTTTTGTACTGAGAACCTATTGGTATAAAGCCTTCATTCTTAATGCTTCTTACAGCATCACAGGTTTTAGACATTAAACAATACACTTTCAGCATTCCACAGGAATCCTCACTTCCAAAAAGTGTAATTCACCTCTGCATGTTACACTCACATACTTCTCATGTACCAATTCTAGCCTCAAATAACAGAATACAAAAAGCTATACAAGACAAAACACCACAGGACTTTTGAATATGCCCTTTCCCCAGTTGTTAGTAGGTAGCACTTTTTTTTAAGAGAAAGTGATGAAAAATCAGAAATTTTGCATCCAGTGTTGGACTTGAACTTTTCACTTTCTTATCGTCTTCTAGTACCACCATATCCTAGAATGAGAAAAGTTAAACTTCTATTAGTTTTTTTAAATGCATTAGAATTGCTTATAAAATTACAACAGTAATACATGTTTATTATGAGCAAATGAGTAAGAGAGATAGGAGGAAAGGAGAAAGTGAGCCGCCGGGTGGACCAGGGCTATGCAGGACACAGCGCAACCTCTGCCCACCACAGCCCTCCCAATCACCTAATCATCATCAAGTCCACTACACGCACACATGCTTGCTGTAAATAACCTTTGCTCAGGAAACCAATGGTTTCTTTCTTTTTTTTTTTTTAAAGATTTTATTTTTTCCTTTTTCTCCCCAAAGCCCCCGGGTACATAGTTGTAAACTCTTCGTCGTGGGTCCTTCTCGTTGTGGCATGTGGGATGCTGCCTCAGCGTGGTTTGATGAGCAGTGCCATGTCTGCGCCCAGGATTCGAACCAACGAAACACTGGGCCGCCTGCAGCGGAGCGCGCGAACTTAACCACTCGGCCACGGCGCCAGCACCAAACTAATGGTTTCTATGGTGAGGACAATGTGGTACAGGCAATACTCAAAGTCCCAGACAAAACTGCAGAGACCAATGGAGGCTAAGGTTAGTTTTGCTTGTTTTTAAACATGTATATTTATAAAATATGAATGTTGCAATCATGTGGTATATATTGTTCTGTGTCTGGCTTCTTTCTTCATATTTGGTAGATCTGTCCACATTACAGCATACAACTGTTGGTTCATTCTCACTGTTGCACAGTATTCCACTTTGTGACTATCACTCAAAGTACTCATCCATTTTACTGCTGACAGATATGTGGGTTTCTACAGGTGCAGGCTACTATGAATAAGGATGCTATCAGCACTCTTGTACTTATCTTTCAGGGTGCACATGTATGCATTTCTGGTGCTATATACCTGAGAGTGAAACTGCTGGGTCTGGAGTGTGCTTATGTTCAATTTTAGTAGGTAATGCCAAACAGTTTTTCAAAGTGATTGTATCCATTTATACTCACACCAGCACTATGAGAATTCCACTCTCACACTTCAAAGCATATTTAAATAATTTTTTTATCAATTTCAAGAATTAATCATTATTCTATAACTTCCCGCTACTGAAGAAGACAAATGCAATCCACAGCAACCCAGTGCTGCTCACTACCCACTACATCCCAGTCCCTGCTAATAAGCTCAAGGTTTAACTCCAAATAGTTACTTGTTTTTTATAGCTTTACTTTTCACAAAATTTTCTTGTAACAGCAATAAACATTACAGTCAAATTTTTGAAAAGTATTTAAAGTATAGCTCAATACATTCTTTGAGTTTTACTGAATTTAAAAAGTTCAAACTTCTACCTAGAAAATTCCGTTTTAGAGCTTACAGGATCCCTAGATATCACAGAATTAAACACATGTGGAAACATGTCCAGGAAAGCTTAAGTTAAAACCTCAGTTAGTGGTAGAAGTGAGTCTAAAACAAATCCCTGTTTGATTTTTAAAGAACAGAAGTGAGAGGAAAGAATAAATCTGAATTACATTTTAATCTCAGTTACTTGTGCAATTAACATTCCTGGTGGGTATACCAAGTAAAACTGTGATGGTTAAATATATAGTTAGTCATCTTAAGTTCCCAAACCATTTCTGTACTTTTTATTGCTCTGTAACAGGAACATCCATATTTTTTTTTCTTTAAAGATTGGCACCTGAGCTAACATCTGTTGCCAATCTTCTTCTTTTGTTTTTCCCCCTTTCTTTTTCTTCTCCCCAAAGCTCCCCACTCCATAGTTGTGTATTCTAGTTGTAGGTCCTTCTGGCTGTGCTATGTGGGACGCCACCTCAGCATGGCCTGATGAGCAGTGCCATGTCCCCACCCAAGATCCAAACCAGGAAAGCCCAGGGCCGCCAAAGTGGAGGGCGCAAATTTAACCACTCGGCCACACGGAGGCCCCATGAACGTCAACATTTTTGCTCTTACCTGATGCTGTCCTGGTTCTTGTCTCTGAGTTTGAACTTGCTGAATAACCTGGGCCTCTGCGAAGTGGTGAGTAAGCCCGGCTGTTCCACATGCTGGAGGACGAGGAAGGACAGGATGGGTGATACCAGGAGTCTGAAAAGGGGGTTGCTGCTCTATCGAGACATAACAGTGTGTCAGGCATCTTCTCATCACTATGATTTTTAAATACCTTCCTATTTTTAAACCATCAGAAAAAAAATCTTTTGTCAAGTGTGTTTTCCTCAGTGTGCTGGTAGATTAGAATTAACATGAAATACTGTTTCACGTTTCTGTCATTGTTAATGGCACCACTATGAGGGAAGAAAATGAGGGAATAAAGGCTCTTTCTTTCTGAATTCACACACAAATAAAAATCATTTAGATTTTAAGTTTATTAAACTACCATTGACACTGAAGACAATAGAAAATCTGGTCCCAAGCTCTTTCCACTCTTGCTTCTATCATTCTCCTACCAAACCAGACTGCTAACTGTTCCCCAAATGTCGTGTTCTTTCCTGCCTTCTTGCCTTTGACTTTGATGTCAACAGTATGTTCCCAATCCCATATCTAGAACGATGACATATGAAAGAAAATAACACATATAATACTGATCAAAGCACATATCATGTACCTTGCCCATCCCCAGAGAACCTAGTTTAATACAGTAATGTCATCATAATTTACTTTCCTTAACAAAGCCAAATCCAGTCAAATTGTGAGCAAAACAAAGAAGCCTGGAATGAAAAGCTGAAGTGAACAGCAAGTGAGATAAATGCAAAACCTACCTGTTGCTGCCAAACAAATATCCTAATATTCCTCCAGTTCCCAAGCCAGTCCAGAACCCTGGCCCTGAATTGGCATATCCTTGTTGTCCCGTGAAAGCACTGCCAAAACCCGAAGCTGCACCATGCGGTCCTAGAAATAAAAATGATTTATTATGCATCCTCACTCAAACAAAACATAGTCTACAAAACCAAAGATAACATGACATTTCAGGTATTTCATCTGTACTATTTATTAATAATACTCACGCCTCAACTTATAAACAAGTTGTATTCAAAAACTGTATTCATGAAATATTGGTTTATAGCTAAGGACCACCTTTTCCACAGCCATGGAAAGGGAGGGATATATTGCAGGACAGAGGCCAGGGGTTGCTTCCTATAAGGACACATTTGCCCTGCTCAAGATCAGCTACTAGAAGATGACCCCACTTGTCAGAGTTACTTCCTTTCTGCCTTGTGAACATCTCTAAAAGCTCTAGCTGATAGCTGTCCTTGAGTGTCTAATGGAGGAATCCAAGTGGAGGCAGCCAGGTGTTTGTATCAGCTGAGAAGTCAGGTTTTAAAGGGACCAAAAACTATCTTCTGCTCAGAGGCAGTTTTTCTTAAATATGTAATATACATAACAGAAAGCATGCTAACCTTACGTGTACAGCATAACAAATTTGTACATACGTATGCGTGCATGTAACCACTACCCGCATCATTAAGACGTTTCTAGCACCCCAGAAGGCTACCTCATGACAATTCCCAATAGACACTCACTCACCCACATCAGAGATAAGCGTTACTCTGAATTCTCTCCCCATACTATAGTTTTACCCATTCCTGAACTTGCTATAAATAGAATCATATAGTAGGTACTCTTTTATGTCTGGTTTATGTCTGTGAGAGCCAACTCCCACTACTGCACATATCAGCTTTTGCTTTTTTTAGACTGATGTACAGTATTCCATTGTGTGAAAACAATCACAATTTGTCTCAGTCTAACGTTTATGGACATTCTATTTCCAGTTTTTGGCCGTTGTAAATAAAACTGCTATGAACATTCTTGTGCCTGTCTTTTTGTGCATACATGCATGCATTTCTCTGAGGTATGTATTTAGGAATGGAATTGCTGGGTCATGGGCTAGGTGGATGTCTAGTTTTAGTAGATACTGACAGTCTTCCAAAGTATTTTACCATTTTAACTTCTACCAGCAAGTCCCAGGTGACCACATCCTTGCCATCACTTGGTACTCCATTTTTTTGTTGTTGTTGTTGTTCTTCTCCCCAAAGCCCCCCAGCACATAGTTGTATAATCTAATTGTAGGTCCTTCTGGCTCTGCTATGTGGGACGCTGCCCCAGCTGGCTTGAAGAGCGGTGCCATGTCCGTGCCCAGGATCCAAACTGGCACAACTCTGGGGCGCCAAAGCAGAGCACACGAACTTAACCACTCAGCCACGGGGCCAGCTCCTACCCTGTCTTTTTAATGTTAGCCATTATGGTGGTTATACGGTGGTTAATAATGAACTCAGTGTGGTTTTAATATGCCTTTTCCTGAAGATTAATGATGCTGAGCACCTTTTCATATTTTTATTGGATACCTGGATATCTTCTTGTATTATAAAATGCCTGTTCAAGGCCTCCACCCATTTTTAAAATTGGGTTGTCTGTCTTTTCTCAGATTTGTGGGAGTTCTTTATATATTCTAGATACATGTCCCTTGTTGGAAATATGCTTTACAAATATCTTCTCCCAGTTTCTGGTTTGCCTTTTCACTCTCTTAAAGTTTTCTTTTGATGACTAGACATTCTTAATGTAATAAAGTCTAATTTATCTATCTTTTCTTTTATGGCTGGTACTTTTTGTGTTCTAAGAAATTTTTGCCTATCTCATGATCATAACAAATATTTTCCTATGTTTCCTTCTGGAAGCTTAATTGTTTTACCTTTTATGTTAAGATCTTTAATACTTAATTACTAAATTTTTGTTTATGGTGTGAGATAGAGTTCAAGGTAAATACTTATTACCAAATCTGATCAAGTTTTTCTGATTAAGATGACTAACAATTGAATGATGCATCCTTAAAACAGTAATCACAATTATCCTTATAGAGAAACAGAACAGAAGAGGTAAAAAAGTTGAAAGTAAACAAAAAAAATCAGAAGACAAATTTGCTTTGGTTTCCCAACGTAACCATTTTCTATTTCAGAAACCAGCAGAGGATTCCCTACCTCACGTCTACCCTGCTTACTGCCATTGCCTGGGGGAACGTACCTGTGAACTCAGACTTAAAGCCCGCGGGAGGGGGTCCTGATGAGCTAGTGAATCTCTGATAAGGATGGGAATACGGCGGATACTCAGAATACGGTGGAGGAGAATCTTGACCATCACTAAGGAACAACTTATAAACTCCAAAGGCAATAGCAAGGAGCACCACGATGGTAATCAATCCACTCATGCCAGAGGAATCTGGGGAGTACAGCTTATTATAATAATTGGAGAAAGAGTTAAAGCCATGGTTTTTTCCAGACTCTCTCAGTTTCTTCAGGCCAAGTTCCGTGTAATCTAAGTTATACTCCAAGCCACAGGAACCTCTCAGTACATACTGGTCTTCAGAGGATTCATAGCCTTCACAGCTCACCACGGTTTTTCCAAATTTGTATGCAATGTCTAAATCGGTCTTACATTCCCACTGCGAAGAAAAGTACAAATAGGTTATTAGAACCAAAAAGATTTTTTTCAGTTAATATATATTATTTGAGCTATATAGCGGTCATAAAAGTGTAAAATGAAGTAAAGGAATGATAAAATTCAGGACAATGAGTAATTCTGTGTTGAGGGGAGGGCAAATTAGAAGCTTCAAAGACACTGGTGATGCTACTGTCCTACTTCTTAAGCTGGGTGATGGGTACACGACTGTTTATTTTATTACTGTTCCTTATTCCTCATTTATACATGTAAGGAATTCTTTTGTACATATTAAGTATTTCATAATTTCTAAATTTTAAGCAAATTTTTTAAATGTCACCTTTTGCCACTGCTCAAGATGCTTTCTTTAAAAATAGAGGGGTTTTTTTTAATGTTAAGGCTCAAAAATCAGCATCACATATGAAGATCTGTTATCTTCATACAGTATCAGAGATAGTATACAACATTCTGATAAAAACTTTCTACACAAATTTTATAAAACCATGGCCTAACTTTCCAAGGTCCTAACTGGCCAGCTCCTTCTTCTTGTCTTAGTCTGGAAGCTCCACTAAAATCTGTCCACCATGGGTGACCCTGCTGGTATCTGAAATAATGGTGGCACAGCTTTCAACATCACAGCAACACACAGCCACCACAGTATGACAAGTGACAGATGGGTGGTGTGGTTCCCTGACCGGGAAACGAACCCAGGCCTCAGGGGTTAGAGTGACAAATCTTAACCACTAGAAAAATGCAAAAAGAATCTGTACTAGCTTCAAAAATTTTTACCTTAAAAAACCCCCAAATTTAGTTTAAATTCTATAATCATATTTTGAGCTGAATGGTAATATGCTTCTTTAACAACATTTAAAGAGACTCAAGCTAAAATAGATTTGATTGGTTCTACTGCCTTTCTGTAAGTTTTTGGACAAATTATCCTCCTCTCTCAAACTCCAGATACACTATTTTTTTATAACAGCTTTATTGAGATATAATTCACATACCACATTCACCCACTTCAATGGTTTTCAGTATATTCACAGAGTTGTGCAGCCATCATCACAATTTTAGGATATTTTCATCACCCCAAAAAGAAATCTCATATCATGAGCATTCATTCTCTATTTCCCCCTAAATCTGCCATCAGTCTCTATGGATTTCCCTATTCTGGACACGTCATATAAATTGGAATCATACAATCTGTGGTCCTATGTGACTGGCTTCTTTCATTTAGCACAATGTTTTCAAGGTTCACACACGTTGCAGCATGTATTAGTACTTCATTCCTTTTTATGGCTGAATAATATTCCATTTTATGGATATACCACATTTTGCTTATTCATTCATCAATAATGCACATTTGGATTGTTTCTACTTTTTGGCTGTTATGAATAACGCTGCTACAAACGTTTATGCTTTTTGTGTGGACATATGTTTTCATTTCTCTTGGGTATACACCCAGGAGTGGAATGACTGGGGCATATGGCAACTCTGTGTTTAACCCTCTGAGGAACTTCCAGACAGTTTTCCAAAGCAGCTGCACCATTTTACACACCTCACAGAAGGGCATGAGTTTCTCCACAACCTCACCAACATTTGTTATTCTCTTGTCTTTTTGAGTATAGCCATCCTATTGGGTGTGAATTGATAATCTTATTGTGGTTTGACTTGTATTTCCCTGATGGCTAATGATGCTGAACATTTTTTCAAGTGTTTATAGGCCATTTGCATATGTTCTTTGGAGGAACGTCTAGACAGATGTTTTGCCCATTTTTAAATTTGGTTATTTGACCTCTTACTAAGTTGTAACAGTTCTTTATATATTCTAGATTTGAACAAGTCCCCTATCAGATATATGATTTGCTAAACTTTTTTTTCATTGCATGGGCTGTCATTTCACTTTCTTGATGGTGTCCTTTGAAGCTCCAAAATTTTTCATTTGGATAATATACAATTTTTTTATTTTGTTGTTGTTGCTACTCTATTTTATTTTTAAATAATTTTATTTGAAGGAAGGTTGATAAGCTTGCTGATTTAGGTAAATAAAACAAGCTAAATCTCTACTGGTAGTTCAAGTTAATTGTCATTTCCTTAATAGTGTATACTAAAAGTGGCTTCCAATTATTATATTTAAACTCTGGAAATTGGAAGAGGCTCTCTCCTGGTACTGAACATAAGTCAATGTTGATATCCTCTATACTTCTTTGCTCACGCTGTTCTCTTCGCTATCTCTTCAGCTCTAAAAATCTTATCCGTCCTTCCTAACACAGCACATACCTTCTCCTTTAAGCCTTCCCCAATCTCTCCAACTGCACATGACTTTACAGCACTTTGCTGGCGTCTACATTTAACCCGAGTGCTTGTCTTATCTCTCCAACTAGGAAGAGAGTCTGACGGTTGGGACTCCATCTTATTTTTGTATACTACAAATTTAATATGAACGAATGACTTCACCATTAGTGTCTTTTCCATCAAGACTGTAAAAGTAACTTAAAAGTAAAATGAGAGTGGGACTTTTGCTTTAACCAGATGAGTCTATGATTCAATGAGCAATACTGGGAAAAAATATTGTGAAATAAGTACCATCCAGTAAATATGAACTCTCTGAATTGCACAGCCCATGCATAAAGGTTCTATCAAACAAGAATATCATTCTGATGGAAGGGGAAATAGTCAACACAACATTCTTGCCTAATAACCAGCCATCTCAAATCCTTTTTGAAAGCAGGCAGAATATAAAGGAGAAACATATTAGTAGTGATTTAAACTGAATTTATTTAATAAACTCTATTCCATTTCTAGAGCATATTAAATTTCAAGGAAATGTTCTGCCCTAAGTATAAAATGCCAGGGTCTCAAAGACAATAAATAAAGCCCACTGAAATGCTTTCACTCAGAAGTAACCACCCTCAGTTCTAGAACAATTTCAAAATCAAGTACGGTATTGAAACACAGTACGGATACGTGTACTCACACTACTTACAATCTCTCATTCCTGATCATCTTAACTTTATTTCTTAAGGGTAGGCTGGTATTCTTTGGGGAATGACAGGAAAATGACAACCAGCAGAGATCCTTTACCCCCACCCCCAAGTACATAAAAAATTTTGGAAATTTACTAATGTCTTAGAAGAAATTCATGGTACAAAAATTAAAAAGACTCTTTCTAGGCTTTTAAATCCGTTCATTTCTTTTGGAGGATGTTCTTCCAGAGAATTTATACCGACATATCTTAGGTTAACCTGAGATTTTCTACATGTGCTTCTCAAAAATACTGATTAATGTACCAATAAACACTTTATTGAATAAAAATTCCATTTAAAATACCATCAATATAATGAATTTTACCTGTACATCATAACCATCCCAGCCTTTGTTCTGACACTGTATGACTTTTGGGGTGTAAGAATCACATCCAGCTGTGCCTCCAACACATCTCAACTGTGGGATCGGATCCAGTCTACGGGAGGTGGTATAGCGGTCATAGTGGAGGGTAAGAGCTTTTATATCCCGTAACAATATTCTGTCTGAAACAGAAAGAACATAAAGGAACAGATAGTAAATACATTGTCAAACACAGAAAGATTCATCCTAATAAAACTCCTGGCATAGCAAATACTTTCAAAAGTGTCTTTCTCGTCTTTTGAGGAGACGAGTAAGAAAGAAAAGATGAAAGAGTTTCCCAAAGCCATCCCAACAATGCCCAGGGCTTCTGCCCAAAATCCAGATGGTCACACCTTTAAAGCTTCCCTTCATTTCAGGCTGGATGCCTCCCAAATTGCTTCTATATCACAAGTTCTATATAACTTTTACAAAATCAAAACAAAAAGTTCATTAACCTGAAAGGTTGTACTACTATATGGCAACAGTAATGGTTAATTAAAAGGGCAAAAAGTATACCTGAATGTTCCTGAAGCACATTTAATGACAAATGTCTGTCAAGAGGTGAATGGATTAATAAAATTTTGGCCTATTTGCACAGTGGAATGTTCTACAGCAGGTAAAATGAGTGAACTAGAACTCATGCTTCAGATTAGAAATAGTAAAAACATATTAAGCAAAATGCAAGCTGCAGAATGTTTAGTATGATAGCTTTATATAAACCTGGAAAACCAGCAAAACAGTAACATATTGTTAATGTCTATACATATATGCATATACATATATATATAAAATGATAGTATGAAAACATGCACAGGAATGATTAAACACCAAATTCAGATAAGCACCTCTGAGAAGAGAGGGAGAGAAGAGACTTTAGCTCTCTCTCTAATGGTTTAATTCTTTGGGGAAGGGGGAGGGTGATTTGCTACAAATAGGGTAAAATGTGAAGGTTTAATAAAATAGGGTGGGGAGTGCATGCGAGTTCACTGTGCACTTCTGTATGTTTAAATATTTAAAATATTTCACAATTTTAAAAATTAAAAATGTTTAAACTATTTCACAAATTGAAAATCACATTGACAAAGAGGCTTAAAAATAAGTCAAAACAATGAAATTACGTCTGGCATTCATGTACCTAAATGAACATTAAAGTATTATTGGAAAATCAATAGTCTTCCTACTTATGACCCTTGGGTTATGACTGGCTCTGGACTGGTTCACTCAACATCCATTTCACCCTCAAACTTGTACGCCTTCTTGCAAAGCTACAAGAACCCCCAAACCTCCTGCGGCTACAGTTGCCAAAAGCTATTTCGGTTCTGCCAACCAGAGGGATTCAAGCAAGGTCTGGAGTGCAGCCCTTAAACTTAGATTTAAGTGCTCTGTCCTTTGGCTGGCAAGCACAGTCATGGGGGCTCTGGGTCTCACTGACAGTGTATAGCATCCAACTCCCTATATTCAACCTGTCAAATTAGCCAAATTTGCTGCCTCCCAAATTCCACTAAAACTACAACAAATGGATGGTCTTGGTGATGTGAACGAACAAGATTAGGTAAAATAGAAAAGGAGATGGCAACAATTTTGGAAGGTGAAAGCAGATGGACCAGTGGTCGATGACCAAACCTAAGAAAAAGTCAAATGCCAGACCAGCAGGGGGAAAAACTGAGAACCAGCCTGACATACATAATAGAATCCCTAAAAGGAACAGGAAATGGAAGCTCTTGAACTGGAGATACCTAAAATAAGAGTACAAGGTGAAAGCTACTTACAAAGAAGCTACACTCCCATCTCCTCTCCCCAGCTCTATGCTGCTGCACCTGCCCCTTCTGCACCCAGGAAAATGTCTGGAGACTCAAGGGCTCTGCACTGAGGCGTACCTGGCACATTAGAGGCCATGGGTATAAAGACATAACAGGAAGCCCAAGTAACTACAGGAAGTGGTATAGTAGTCATAGTGGAGGGTAAGTGCTTTTACATCCTGCAACAATTCTGTCTGAAACGGTAAGAACACAGATGAACAGATAATAACTATCTTATCAAACACAGAAAGATTCATCCTAATAAAACTTTTGGCACAGGAAATACTTTCAAAAGTGTCTGAACGCTGAAATGCTGAAAGCACAGACCTCTTTCCCGGCATGGCTCACAAAATGCCAGCAACCACTCCTCTGCCCTCTGAATGAGAGACTGGAAGTCTATTCTCTTTACAATCTAACCAATAAGAAAAATACACTGACATCAAGACTTCCCTCCAAAAAAGGACCAGCCAAGTAACCCTACAGGCACAAGGTCACCCCACAGTAAAGCTCAAAATCCAAAAGCACCAACCACACATACTGATGGCTTCTAATTGGCTTTTTGGTTCACACCCTTAATCACGAGCAGACAGGCAAGGATTACTAAAAATACGAGGAAAGCCCCCAACACAGAATACAGCAACCAGGACAAAACAAAACAATTTGGAGGAAAGAGAGATTGTACAGGGAGAAGAAAACTTTTAAAAAAAAAAGTTAAAGTTATGATATTCTCAGAGAGATAAAGGAAAACATTATATTCACGAAACAATCATTTTTTTAAAGGAACACTCAGAGAACAAAATAAGAGCTCTTGGAAATTAAAAACAGGGCAGCTGAGATGAAAAACTCAGTAGAAATGTTCAAAGTTAAAGGTAAGAAAATCTAGCAAGTAGAGCAAAAAGACGGAAAGTAGGAGTGGAAAAAACAGAAAATTGCAGGACCAGTTCAGGAAGTCCAAAAATCCAACAGGGGTTCCAGAAAGAAAGAGCAGAGAAATCAGATAAGATAACTCACTGATACAATTCAAAAGTTCCCACAACTGAAGGACATGAGTTGTCATATCGAAAGACTCAATAAAGACCCAGGCCTCAAAAGAGACCCACAGAAAGGCATATCATAAAATCTTAGAACACTGTAGACAAAAACTGCCAGAGGAAAAGGGGAAAAACAGGTCACATACAAAAGATTAAGAATTAGAAAAGCTTCTGCTCTCTCAACAGGATAGAAGAAGAAAATGGAGAAATGTCTTCAAAAACTCTAACGGAAAAACTTTGGCTGGGTATAGAATCCCAGATTGTCACTCAAGCAGGAGGATAGAATTTTCAGGTATCTAAAGGTTTCAAAAGATTTATCTCCCAGGTATCCATTCTCACTAAGATTCTAGAAGCTTTTCACCACTAAGAGAAAACACAAATAAACAAAGAAAAAGACATGAAAATCAGAGAAGTAAAGAAAAAAATAATGGTATACAGAGGGACAAAGGGAATCCCAAGGAGAATGACGAACGAAGGTACCAGGATGACAGCCGTGGACCAGTCAGGGCAACAAGTCCACACAGGATGAGTACATACTGCTCCAAAGACATGAGGGCTGCCAGCAAAAGATCCCCACTGCTACTGTACCATCTCTTTTACACCTGAGGACAGAGTGCCCAGGTGACCCTAGCTTTGGTTTTTATCTGTATTTGGTTTGTTTTCACCTTTAGCTGAGAAAGTTCCTCTTTTTAACTTCACATCCTGCTCCCTTGGGTCAGCTGGGGACACTCATGTCACCCCACAGAAGCATTCTAGCTTTAACCTATTCCTGAGTGCTCAGATAGACCATGGTAAGCACAGAAGCAAAAGACACAGAGCAACCCACTACCTCTGACCATACTTCTGCTAGATGTTCAGCACCTGGACCACAAGAGCCCTCAACAGATGCCCTAATTATGGTGAGCCCCTGTTTCCCATGACTTTCCCCAGCAACTTCCTCAGATAGGCTCTTAAAATCTTAGGAAGCAAGAGACTCTCTTTACACTGCTAGAAAAACAGCTAGTGAGTTTCTCAAAAACTTTTAGAGTGTTACCGCACACATGGGTAGAAAAACTAAAATAAGAAAATTATTCATTCAGAAGTCAGGAAAGTGATCACCTCTGGGAAAAGGAATGTGCTTAGAAAGGAACATAGAGAATTCTTTCTCTTAACTGGGTGGGAGTACACTGGTGTTCACGTCATTATTCTTCTTTAAACTATACATATATGTTTTACTTATGCTTATACTTTATATATGATATGTTTCATGATTTTTTTTTAATCTAAAAGTAATACCTTTTCCTCTTGAAAAGCAAACCCTGCTCTTCCTCCAATTTCACCCTTCTGTGATAAAAATTAACAGCCTGGTAAGTACCTATATCTTGCTCACTCTAACAGAGATATATACAGGGTTGATTTTTATTAGTTTATTTTTGTAAAAATTGAATCATACAGTGCACATTACTGTTCATATGGCTTTTTCACTTAACCATATATCATGGACATTCCTTCATATCAGTAGATACAGATCCTATTTATACTTATTTACCAAAAAAGAACTTAATAAATTTGACTAGGCTGAGAGTTACCAGCCACATTGTCTCATCAAAATGCAATAAAATAAGAAACATAATTACATAAAATAATGTAACAAAATATAAAATAATAAAAAGGTGACTGAAAATAACTTAATTGGAAAATAAGAAACATAACGTTTGCAGCAAAAGGATATCAAAACAAATTTAGAGGCTGCCCCTTGGCTGAGTGGTTAAGTTCGCAGGCTCCCCTTCAGCGGTCCAGGGTTTCACTGGTTCAGATCCTGGGCGCAAACATGGCACCACTCGTCAGGCCATGCTGAGGTGGCATCCCACATGCCACAACTAGAAGGACCCACAACTAAGATATACAACTATGTACTGGGGGGACTTGGGGAGAAAAAGCACGGAAAAAAAAAAAAGAATATTGGCAACAGTTGTTAGCTCAGGTGCCAAACATAGGGGAAAAAAAAATTTAGAATTGGGCTTGCAAACTCAAATGCCTTCAAGTGCCACTCAGATATCTAAAATATATGTACAGTCACTGGATGAAGGTGGCTAAGGGCAGGAAGTGGTAGGGCTTGTGCTAAATGGAGAATTCAAATGCCAACTAAAGCCATTCAGGTTTTAAAATTGCAAAGTGATTCGGTCCAATGAAAACATTTCTGTAAACTTCAGGCTCTGATATAAGTTTTTTTAAAAAGCCAAAATCTATAAGGGATAGAGGAATATTTACAGACTAGACATTTTTATTGTTTTTAAGTTGGACATAAATGAGCTAGGGTTTCATGCTAAGAAA